TACATGTAATCATGGCAATGATTAACACTCTTTTGGTCAAGTTATATTTTACTGCCTGGATTAAGCGTTTTAAAATAAATATTTTTTTAAAATGGAAGGGTTTACTTGGACAGATTCTTATCATACATTTTAAACTGTCGCTTCTTTTGATGTTTGTTATTTTTAAATTTATTTTAAGAAATACAATTTTTTAAAATGCTGTTTAAGATAATATGAACATTGATGGATATCTTATACTGAGCCTGAACACACATTAATTTAGTTTGGTGTTGGTGTCTCTGACAGGAAGCCGTGATTGAAAAATGGTTTAGAGCCCCAAATTGCCAGCTTGGATTATAGCTTGGTGTAAGGGCCACCAGTGTAGCACACTGGGTGCCTGTAGATACTTCCTCTGCTACCTACTTGGCTGATTTTATTTTTTAAAAATGGGAGCTAGCAGGTTATGAAGAAAAGTGCCAGCTCTTACACCATCCTTATTCATAAGATATAGATACAGTAAAAGCACAATTTAATAGACCTCCATTTAGTGGACTTTGGATGCAACAGGTGTAATTTCTGCCCAGGCATTCCCCTGAAATAATGGATAAGTTTATTGTATCCAAATAGCATGGACAAGGATCTTAACATAAATCACATAAATTGCCGCAGCTGATATACTTTTGAATTGAAGTGATATTCCGGAATAGCAGACCCCACCCCTTAAATAGTTGGTTAAGCTAAGGGTTTATTTAGAAGATAAAAATGATGGCTTGAGGCCTAAGGCTTTATTTGTAAGTATGCCATCATGCCCAGAAAAGCAAACAAACAATTTCAGGGTGAGAAGGTAAAGCTGGAGAGCTATTTAGGTGGTATCAACTGGCCAAGATTTGGGGATCCTTGGTTTAGTGCAGGGCTTCTTGAACTTTGCAATTCTTCAGCCTTCTAAAATGATAAATGAGTGTGTGACATTATTCATGAATAAAAATAATAAATAAATAATAAAACAACTGTGACCAGTAAATGGTTCTGACAGATGCCTAGATCCACGGGTTCAGCCCTTTCTCAAAACATACTCCAGACCTGGTTTCCTTTTTTTTATAGAATGACCAGTTTAGTTGATCATGGCAATGTAGTAGACCTAGTGTACCTTGAGTTCAGGAAAGCAACAGTCTCCCATGAGATTATAGTGCAGAAGATGTCAAAATGTGACCATGCTGCCATTAGAGGGATACAGAGCCGGCTAAACAATTGTACCCATTTTTACATCAATGGTTCCACATAAAACTGGAAGGAAGTGTCACAAAGCATCACAAAGCTCAATTCTAGGCCCTTTTGTGCTGTTCAACATATTTATAAATTACTTGGATAAGTGGTAAGAAAGTATGATTATCAGATTTGTAGATGACACAAAAATAGACAATACAGCAAACACCTTAGAGGATACTATTAAAATGGAAATGGATCTTGACAAGCTGAAACAATGGGCAGAAATCAGCAAGATGAATTTCAACCGGGAGAAATGCAAAATCTTACATTTGGGGAGGAAAAATCAAAGACATAAGTGTAGGGCAGAGAGAGAAAACCATACTTAGGGGATCTCAAGCTGAATACAAGCCAACAGTGTGATGCAGCTGCAAAAAAAGAAAATGCAGTCTCAGATGCATCAACAGAAATAAGTATTAAGATCAAGGGAAGTAATTTGTCCTCTCTGTTGTCATTGGTCAGACCATAACTAGGTTATTGAGTCCAGATTTGGGCACCATATTTTAGAAAGGACATTGACTAATTCTGGAGCACATCCAGAAGAGAGCAACCAAGTTGGAGGCTTGGGGTGTGTTTAGCTTGGAAAACACAAGACTGCAGAAGGATATGCTAGCTGTCTTCAAATACAGACCAGATGGTCCTCAGTTAACAACCATTTGTTCAGCCACCGTTCAAAGTTACAACAATGCTGAATGAGGAGACTTATGGACAGTCCTCATTGTTGCAGCTGTTGCAGCATCCCTGTGGTCACATGATTGTGATTTGGGCGCTTGGCAACTGGCTTGCAATTACAACGGTTGCAGCATTCTGCAGTCACCTGATGACCATTGCAACCTTCACTGTCAGCTTCTGACAAGCAAAGTCATTGGGGAAAATGGCAGGAGGTCACAAATGGCAATCACGTGATGTTGCGCCTAACAACCATGCAGGATTTGCCTAATGACTGCAACTGGAATTGCTATCATAAGTTGGTGCGGTCATGTGATATTGTGCTTTATGACCGCATTGTTTAGTGAAGGAGTTTCAGGTCCCAATTACCGTTGTTAACGAAAGACTACCTGTATGTAAGGCCTGTAATGCCAAGGATAGAGCAGAATTGTTCACAGTTGTTCCAGAAGGCAGGACAAGGTACAATGGGGTTCAATTATACAAGGAAATAGGTTTTATTATGGACATTATGAAACATTTCCTAATGGTAAGTGAAATGGACTGCCTTGGGAGATGGCGGACTCTTGGCCACTTGATATGTGATAACAGAGTTTGGACAGCCATTGGTCAGATATGCTCTAGTGGTGGATTCTTATACTGGCGCAGGAGTTTGGGCCAAATGATCTTCCAACTTCTATGAGTGCAAACCACATTCTTCCACTTAGTTGTGACAATATGCTGAAAGTGACTATGATAGCATTTATAAAGAACAAATACTTATTCACTGAAAATCATGAGTTAGGATGTATGATAGTCTAAGTAGCAGTAATGCTTTATGCCATGACCATGTCCTGAAATCTCACAACGTCGAGTGCATTTCAATACAAATTATGTAATATTTAAATAATTGAGATTTCTTATAAATATTTTATTGTGATCATTTTATTTATGCTACAGTGTTTTTTTTTAAAAAAACTGTAGATTACTAAGATAGACTGGCGTGGTTAGTTCTGTGGACATTTTAGAAAAAAACTCACAATATTCTTTCTCAAATTTAAACACAATAGGCTAGTCCATGTATAACCCACTAAGCATTATAATTTCTTAGCTTCTGGCTTTGCATGATTTCACCCCTGATGGCTTAGCAGACCACAACGGTTTGTTCCACAAAAAAAAGTCTGTCAGCATAAGTGTGTGTGTGTGGGGGGGGGCACAGCCATCCTTTTAAACAAGAAACCAGCCTTATGGGCCCAGAGGGAGTCACATGACCCCTGAGAGCCAGTGAAGGAAAAGAAGGGGGTTCTGTCAGGTTTTGGGTGGGAAAAGTTTTGGATCTTTTGAGAAAGTTGACTGGATGGGGGGTGACCTCAGCCAAGGTTGGAAATTGAGTTCTTTGATTATAGTTAGAATTTTATTAGGGTTTTTTGGATTTTATCTCTTTTTAACTAAGTGTTGTTTGTGTGGAACTTTATCTTCTTTGGGCACCTTTAATAAAGTTGATTTTTATTTAAATCGGTGGCCTTCTAGCACCCACCTCAAGTTGGCTGAGCTACTGCCAGCCCTTCGAGGTAGTCCAGACACGAAACCAAAACCTTGAGTACTACTAGCTCTGTCTTTATTGTAAGGTTGCATTAACAGAGTCTTGCAAGTGTGAAAGTACCCTTCCCTTCCTTCACTTCTACTTTCTTGAAAACTAGGGAAGGTCCTTTCTGAGACACTTTCACCACCACCCCTCCTTTGGACTCAAATTTCATTTATCAGATAGTTGTTGAAGTTTCTGCTCTTCCTCCTGCCTACCGAGATCATTCCCACATACTATTACACATCTGTAGCCAGAACAAGTATCTGAGTGTTCTCTGTTTTTAATTAAAATTCTTTGTGCATATTTCTCCTGACTATTCTGATATTGTTGATTCAGGTTTGGATATTTGCATATCAATTTCCTTTGAGCTGGTTAATGACTGCAATAAAGTATTTCAGATTTAGTATTATATGCACAGTTAGGAATGTTTCTCTAAAAGGAATGGACTCTATTATGTCCTCTGTTCATCTACAGATCTGGAATGAGGACTGAATAGAACATTTGGCTTCTAATTTCATAGAACTATGTTTTTAAGTCTACAATCCAATTTACCCCCAGCTATCTGAGAGTAAATGCTGAATGTAACTCACAGAGTCTCTATTCACACATTGTTCTAAGCCATGTAATGTGGTTTTCACATAACATGGTTACCATGTTGTATAAAAACCTAGCCACTGCAGTTTGTAAATCATGTTTTGTGTTGTGCAATCCCAGGCAATTGGGACTTTATTTGTAGTTTAATAAATCACGGATAAATGAATTATGGTTTAGCACAAAGTGTGAACAGATTGAAGCATCACCAAGGGAGAAAGATTTTGTTGTTAACTTATTATGAATATTTTTCCCAACTTTGGCATCACAGAAAATCTTTTTGTTTATCCAGGTATTTGACTTAGTAATATTGTTTGCTTTGTTATGTGTTTCAGTGCTAGTTCAGTATCTTTTCTTTGTGATGGGATTGCAATTTGAGGCTATTTTTATTTTATTGGGATTTTTAAAACTGCATTTGTATAGTGCTTTATTTTAATTGTATTTCTGATATCTCTGATATCAAGGATAAATAATTGTTTTAATAAAACAGAATAAATGACATTTTAAACACTAATTACAATCCCAGTATTCAACATGTTTTAAATAAAATTAGTGTGGTTTGGAGGGTGGGTTAATATTTATTGTGCTTATGTTATTTTGTAGGTATGGGTTTAATAAGCAGCAACAAAAAAAAGTGAAAAATCAGTAATATTAGATTTAAAAACAGACTACAGATATTTGATAGTCACCAACACTTCAGTACCCTTGGCGCAACTACATGAAACCAATCTTCTTACAGTACTCGTAATACGTCAGCTCCTCTTTCCGGGCATGCTCAGAAGCAACAACGTAGCCAACTTGCCCTTTTGTGACAGAGCGAGCAATCGCTACTGAGTCTGCGCTGTATAACACGTCGCCGTGGGACGTTGCTGCGGGATTTGACAGAGGAATCTCGAGTGAAGTCAGGTGAGCGCCTGTTTCGGCTTTAAGAGGTTCCTTTCGGTTTGGATCGCTTGCTTCGAACGTTGGCAATCGTAGTCTTCCAATAATGGAAACAGTAGAACGGCCTCTGCAGAGTTAGTGGGTGCGCAGGGCTATTGAATCGTGCAATAGGAAAGTAATTTAAACTTTTTTATGTCTTTCATAGATAGTCTTCTGGATTAAGTTGATGCATCCCACGTTTTAAGAAGGAAACATGCAGGTCTGATTTCCTAACTCGGGCACTGTAGCTTATTCTAAGGCAAGCTTCCCCAAGCTGAAGTCCTTCATGAGTTGGAGTCTAATCTTTATAATTTCCATGTAGAATGGCTTGGCTGTCTGGTGATGATGGTGTTGCAGCCCACCATTTCTAAAAAAGCTGCAGTAGAGGCCTATGGTTTGATCCAGTATAACCCTCTGCTGAGATTAGTGATGGTTTAGCAGTTCACTACTGGGGAAATTCCAGCTACAGATTCCTTGTATTGAACAGAAGGTTGGACTACATGACTTTCAAAGTCCTCTGTAACTCCCTTCGTGTTGCTTTTTTAAATGCTTAATTAAAGTGGTTTATATAAAATTTGAAATTAATTTAAAACCACTATGACATGAATAACATGAATTATATAACAAACCTAAACAGCTGCAAGAACAGAGCTTTGGTCTATTTATTAAAAAAAGGTAGGAAGAAGTTCACAGTATTAGGTCAAAGCTTGATATCAAGCCAGTGTTGCTTCAGCTTGGTTCTAGAGTGTTAGAGGCAGTCCCTGCTAACTTGGCACCAAGTACTCTTGTGGACAGGCTGTACACTTAGTAGAGAAGCCAAAAGGTGGTGGTTAAGCAGGTATAAGAGGAGCAGACCAGTGGATGTTGGCCCCATCCTCAGTGCCATTGAATGCACCTGGTCCCTTAGTTCCAAACTTGCTGCGCCAAGATGAAGCAGTGCTCCTGATTGTGCAGTAAACTGCTGTATTCTTCAGTTAATACATGTGGAATCTCACTATCTTTGACTCATGGGTAGAGTTCAGCTGGTGCAAATGCTTTTAAGTGATTAAATCCCTCATTCGTGAGTCTGTGAACGTTTCATATACATGTCAAATAACATTTTGAACAAATAATTGCATGGCAGAATACTCACCTCTGCTCATCTGGTTTTTCATACTGGAAAAATGTAATGCCTTTGCTAGTGTTACTGGAGCAATAGGGTTGACAACTCTCAGCATGAAGATACTATATGTTTGCTGGTATGTGGCATAATTGAAAAATAGAGCAATATTACCAGAAAGTTAAAAAAACAAAACAAAACAAGAGTTGATATAACATTATGTGGAATACAATAACCCAAGCAGTTCAGGCAAAAAAATCTGAGTAGATTAAGAGAAGGATTCAGAAATTTGACAATTTACTCATCGTTCTTGCCAGCAGAGTAACTGTAAACAAATAAGGTAGTTAATACCTTATTCAGCTGGTAAAAAATCAGTACAGATTGTTTTTTTTTTCCAGAAAGCAGCTTGTTAATAAGGCATTTCAGTAAGCAGCTAACTGTCTGCTGGCCCATGTCCAGCTGCTCTTAAGGCTTTTTTGTAGTATACTGTATTGTATGGTTAAGGGGTTGGGCCGAGGGTGGGAAATATAGTTTCAAGTCCATGTGTAACCATTGTGATTGCTAAGTGGGTTCAGTAGTTGTCTCTGAGCAGCTGTATCCCAAAATAGTTGTCAGGGTAAAATGAGGAATGGCTCCTGTGTGATCCCTTCTTGATCACCTAGATAAAGGTTTAAATATAAAATAATAAATAAACAAATTAGCAATTCTTTAAGTTGAAAAATCTTACTACATTCTTCTTATTATACTTTTTAGCAAAAACAATTACTGTTCTCAGTTGTTTGTTTCCAACAAAATGAACATTTAGATGTTTGGCAGCAGTGTAGAAGATCATTGTTGGGGCAGCCAGACTATGCTTCCAAGACTGCTTAAAAAAAGATCTGCCAGCAGCTCTCCATATACAGCTGTACATATGAGTGCTCCCTCCAAGTGGTTCAGAGAATGGTTCATACTCAATATTAAGCAAGAGCTTTTAAAGCTATGGTTTATTTAACAAGCCATAAGGTCATTGGTTATGTTCATATACGATGGTCAGACAAATGGTGTGGCATCTCCCTTCTGGTCCTTTTGAGCTTCAGTGTATGTGCTATGTTCACAGCAACATATGGCCAGTACTGGAAACATGTCTTTCGTTTCTGCAATACATTTATAGCACTCTTCCTCAAACTGGTGCCCCCAGATGTTTTGCACCATGATGTGAATGTCATCTACTCAGCAGCATCCTAGGAATTTTGAGAATGGGAATCCAATACATTAGGAGGGTGCCAGGAAAATAAAGGGTGCCATAGACTAAAATGGAGCAGCTCTCTTTAAATATTGCAGGCCAAGTACACTCAAGCATTCAAGAAGGTTGACAAAATTGTTGAGAGCTTCTGAGAGACATAATAACTCAAGCTGCATATTCCAAAATAATACTAACCATTCTTTGGCTTATGTCAGGAATATTGAAAGGATATGCAAGAATGCTACAACTGGGAAATCACAGCACATAGCTATAACATATAACATATAAAAGAAACTGGCTCCTTTCACAATAATATAGCCATTTATATCTGTTTCAGACCTCTAAGTGTGCTTAACTGTGAGTGCTCTCAATTTAAGAAGGTTATTGTTTAGACCTTTGTGGACCTTCAATTAAATAGCTGTTAGTTTGATTTAGGCTTAGTGCAAATGTATAAACCCAAAATTTTCATTTGTTCACCATGATTTATGGTGTAGCCACTATGGCTTATTCAGCAAAGTGTGAAACCCAATCCGTGGTGATGTTGACACTTTATATCTATTTTTATTGTTTTTTCAGAAGCTTAATGGTTTGTAGATTAATCAAACAACAATGTCTGAAGAAATTAGAAAAAGGCTTGATTTTCCTAACACACTTATACAGTCACAGGTAAGAAAGCTTCTATCTGGTATGTGGTGTCTGTGGTGTCTGTGCATGAATATATAAATACATGCACACACACACACTTGTATCTGTTGAAAAATGAATTATTTACATGAAACCCCTGGGGGAGATCATCCAGAGTTTTGAGTGGGGTGTCTTCAGGATGATGACACCCAGTTTTGTTGCTCCTTACCATCCACTTTCAAGGAAGTATTTGATACCCTGGAATATTGCTAAAGTACCATAATGTCCCTTTCTGAGCTATTGAATTTGATTACAGTTATCCATGCTATTTTAGGTTATACTGGTATAAATAAAAAGCTGCATTTATTGTGTGTCTCTTTTGAATTATAAAAGAGAAAAAAACACTTATTTTCAAATTCCTAATTTAAGACTACATTTTACTAGATGGCTGCATCCAGCCAATGTTGGCTGGTTTTAAAAACATTAAGCAGGGCAGAACAGATTTGTATTTGAATGGGAGACCACCAAAAATACCAGGACTATCAGATAGACTGGGAAGTTAAAAAAAATCCCAGTAGGTGATAGTGGGAAACTGCTTCCATATTGTTACCAAGAAAATTTCATGGAACTCTCCTAGAAGTCACCAGGAGTTGAGTTTGACTTGCAGAAGACTCTCTAGAGTATATGGTGCTGTACTTTGCTAATTCTTCCACACAGAAGTATGAAATAGATTCTGTTGGATCAGACTTGTAGTCTTTCTGTTGCATCATTCTAGTTTTCATAATGGTCATCTGGCAGCTGAAGCACAATAATAGTGAATTGCCAGGTAAGCTCCTAACCAAGAACATGTGATCTCTTGGCCAAGAGATGGCACTATATCAGGTTCCTTTAAGCTGTTTGCTTGGTTTCCACACTGAGAGAACAATAGTTATGCTGTTGTGTGGTTTGTTTTAATTAGTTTGATATGTGAGACCAGCCATTATGTCAATGAAGAAGCATTCTTAAGAGGAGATACAGGTTGATGTCAGGCCATGTTATTCCTTCTGCTGGCTTATTGATCATGAGTTCATCATTTATCAAAACATATTCCTATGGAAATTTTGTGGAGTCATTTTATATGCTAAAGTAAATATGTTAACTGTAGAACTGTTCATTTTTCAAGTATTAGTACTGTTCTTGCAAGTACTTTTTCACCTGGACTTTTTAAAAAAATAGGTCCCTGCCTGAATCCATTGGGTCAAATTGGGCGTCTTGTGATCTTTGAATTGGTGCTGTACTACAGCTTTGCACCACTGGCTTCATTAGTTTACTCTCTTGGGATTAAAGAACTGTCTGGAGGGCCACAGGAGGCCCACATCTACTCAAGGAAGTTGCCTGCATAAATGTGTTTCTAGTAGGCACATGACACATATATGTATATTGCAAGCAGTGTGTTATGTCTTCATATATCTATCATATCTCCACATACTACCTGTCTGACATAATGATTGACATTTTGCTAAATAAGAAAATAAGAAATTCTTCAAATTTAGAAGGTGAAAAACTCAATCATTCCTTCCTATTAGGTGCAAAGAAAAAAGATAAAATGTTTATAAGTGCCTCTGAAGTGCTTTCTTGTAAGGAATCCTGTTTTCCTAGTAGATTCACTAAATTCTTTGCTTAAGGAAGTATATAAGTCATCTGGCTATTTGTCCATTTACTCTGTAATAATGACAGGTCACAGAATCTCATAGGCAGAACTTTTTTTCTATTACCAGGAACAGTTACAAAATCTCTTTCTAAATGAGGTTGAGGACCTTCTACATATACCTAACTCCCAAGCAAAGGCCCATCTGCTAATACTGTTTTTGCTATGCCCATTCAGGCAGTAAGTTCTGGTCCATCTGCACTGATAATCTAAATGGTTGTGGGTGGCCATATTTTTAGGAGCACTGAGACATTACATCTTAGGATTCTTTGCCAAGGTAAAGAGAATGTCAGGTTGCCACTACTGAATTGTGGATGACCAATTATTTTTCCCCCAATATAACCTTGGCCTTCATTTTGTTGATTACCTAGTATAGTAGTTGGGGTGGTAGGATGTGGTTGCTGCTAGCTGCAATAAAGATAATAGTTTAGTGATTTATGTTTATTCACAGGCTGTGGGCCATCTTACTGCTGCAGTGCTAAAAGAAAATGTTTTATCTAACAAGATCAGCCAGTCCAGTAACCAGGTTTGTGTCTTTGCTTTCATTTTTCTTTCCCCCATTGCCCTGACAACTGCTTTTGTGGTGCAACATGATT